TGGGCTACAGCTCGACGTCAAAGGGATGTCGTCTTTTTATAAGACGAACCGAAAGCTCTATATCCGGAGAAATGCTGAGTTTAATGACAATGATTTCGGCCAGAAGCAAACCATGACTACAAAGCAGACCAAGAGGGCGAGGACGGGAAGCAGAATGCTGTCACCACCACAAAAGGAGAAGAAGTAGTAGAAATGAAGAAATCAGAGAAGGAAGAAGAAGACACGCCACAACAACCCCGAAAATCTGGAGGAACGCGAAAAGCACCTGTCAGATATGGTTACGACGAATATACCGACACTGCGACCCACCGCGCGAATCATGTTGCCTATCACCTATGTGAGACAGATGAACTACCCTCAACCATGCTAGAAGCAAAGTCAAGTGATCATGCTGCAGAGTGGAAAGTCGCCACAGATTCAGAGTGCATTTCTCTGATTGAAACCAAGACGTAGAAGTTGGTTGAATTACCCCCGGTCGGAAAGCTATAGGATGCAAATGGGTGTTTAAACTTAAACATACTACGGACGGTGCTGTGGAACGTTTTAAAGCACGCCTAGTTGCCAAAGGTTACGCCCAGAAATATGGTATTGACTATGACGAAACTTTTTCGCCTGTAGTTCGTTTCTCTTCNATAAGACGAACCGAAAGCTCTATATCCGGAGAAATGCTGAGTTTAATGAGAATGATTTCGGCCAGAAGCAAACCATGACTACAAAGCAGACCAAGAGGGCGAGGACGGGAAGCAGAATGGTGTCACCACCACAAAAGGAGAAGAAGTAGTAGAAATGAAGAAATCAGAGAAGGAAGAAAAAGACACGCTACAAGAACCCCGAAAATCTGGAGGAACGCGAAAAGCACCTGTCAGATATGGTTACGACGAATATGCCGACACTGCGACCCACCGCGCGAATCATGTTGCCTATCACCCATGTGAGATAGATGAACTACCCTCAACCATACTAGAAGCAAAGTCAAGTGATCATGCTGCAGAGTGGAAAGTCGCACAGATTCAGAGTGCATTTCTCTGATTGAAACCAAGACGTAGACGTTGGTTGAATTACCCCCGGTCGGAAAGCTATAGGATGCAAATGGGTGTTTAAACTTAAAAATACTACGGACGGTGCTGTGGAACGTTTTAAAGCACGCCTAGTGGCCAAAGGTTACGCCCAGAAATATGGTATTGACTATGACGAAACTTTTTCGCCTGTAGTTCGTTTCTCTTCAATACGTCCTTTGCTAGCTTTTGCAGTCCAGAATGATTTGCTGATTCATCAGACAGACGTGGAGACAACTTTTCTTAATGGAAAACTTGATGAAGAAATTTACAGGCAGCAACCGGAAAGATATGTGTATCCCGGGTAAGAGCATTTTGTGCGCAAGCTAGAGAAGTCACTCTATATAGA